AAAATCAAATGGAGAAAAGATATTCTTTTTTTGACGTGTCTAACCATTGAACAAACCAATCGCTTTCTCATCAGATTGGCAATATGGCTTGCTGCTCGGAGGATAAATTTGGCAACGTTAACAGGCTCTGGAAATCTATCTTCAGTTAAGCCATCTCGCAACTGAAGTATTCGGACATAAATATTTGAAAAATTAACAAGTCTTTTAGTGGGCCAACGATATAGAGACTAGATCGGTCACGCATTGCAAATATTTCAATCCGAATAGGTACGAACCAGAAGAGCCCAGATAGAAGGTTTCTTAGCCGTTGGCCAACGATATATAGACTAGACCGGTCATTTACTGCAAATATTTCAATCCGTATAGGTACGAATCAGAAGAGCCCAGATAGAAGGTTTCTTAGCCGTTGGCCAACTCCCATGTCTGATCTAATAATGATTTGTAGCTTTTATCGTTAAAAATCATTTGGTAAACTGCGTTTAGCAAAAGTACGACTGTACACATCTAATCTATCGTAGGGGTACAGTACGGTGGTCATTAAACTACGCCACAAAAACAAGGGGATATGCACGGGAAATGCGTTTATTACTGAAGATGAGACCAGCCAAGGTAAATTCAGAAGTCCTAGAGAGGTGACACAATTCTTGAAGAAGGTATCAGGGGCATGGGGTAGTAATATAGGGGGTTCAACCAAGTATTTGAAAAAGCGACGAATTGCAAAAAAAAAAGTCCTAAAAGGGAGGACTGCAATCGCAGGTGCTATGGTTGGCGAGGCAAAAACAACGCAAAAAGAAAGTATGCGTGGTCGAGGGAAACAGTGTCTGCAGAGTTATAGTTAATAGCCTAGGATGTTAGTAGTACAAGCTCGTTCGGGAATAGATAGAGATAGGTCCCGTTAGAGTTCAGACTTTCACTAAGACTATAAGGAACAGAAGGACGAAGAGGACTAAGAATACTGCTTGTAAATATCGTAAACCTTTGAATAAAGCTATGCTACCGGATTTAGAAATCTAAATTTTTGCCAAAAATATGAAAAGGACGATTTTTGGAGTTGGAGGATTGGAGAAGAAGGACCGAACCTTAGGAACTTCGAGAGACTATATAAAATCCCTAAAACCCTAAAACCAAAACATATTTTAAAATTTGCGCCAAAATGTGAACCAATAGAAAATCGATAGTATTACTAGAGAGTAGGAATTACAAACGTACTGCTTTTATTTTACTCCATAAAAGTAAAATATACGTCAGACTGGAGAATCTGACTGCATCTCGGAATCAAGACACCTATGAAAAGTTAAGCAATTGTTCACTTGCTCAGTAAATACGATTCCTACGACTGCTACAGTGTCAGCTCATGACACAGAATCGGCACAAAAGTTCATTAGTCCAGGTCTGTTTAAAAGTGCAGAATATGTAGTGGACAGTGGTCGTCATTTACCGCACTTTAGAGGATTGTTAACCGGACCGTCAGCCGTGGCCCGTGGTCCGTGGATGTGTTCACCAATCTCACAACCGCAAGACACCGGCTCAGCACCTTCTGTTCAAGATATTTTTAAAATAATATGGTCTGACGAGTATAATAAAAACTAAATGATACGGTCTTATACGCAGGGCGTGTGCATTTCATCATCGAGCACCTCTATCACCACTATCATTTTAGTGCTCGAGCGAGTACACCAGTAATAATCTAAGTTCATGCTACATTCAATTCTCATCTCTTTAGAACCAAATCTGGCAACTTCTTATCTCTCAACATGTTGCTCAAGATTGTGTTCTATCTAGCTCCTATGATTCTTGTTCCGTACCTCGTCATAGCGGCACAAGCGTCGGTGGTACCCAATATATTCCTAAAGGCGTATGGAGAAGACCTCGCGCTGACCATCACAACCTATGCTGCCGGGGTCAAATCGTTTCTGAGCTTCATAACAGGTCCACTTGTAGGCATTGCATCAGATTTCTACGGTCGAAAGGTGCGTTAGTATAGCTTTGCACGGTGTATTGCACACAAACACACATACTCCCGCGCCCCCCCCCACGACCACTCTCTCTCTCTCGCTCTCTCGCACCCCACCCACACCCCACCCACACACTCACACACATCACACCACATACCACACCACACACCATAGACACACATACACACACCACACACCACACACCACACACCACACGCAATATACATACATACATTCATACATACATACATAC